AAAGGTCTGAAGTTGTTTTGAAACCAATCAACAGGAATAATAAATTGTTCTTAGGGGATGTTCCCATTCAGTCACATAATAGTAAATCAGGCCCAGCCACAGGATTTTCAAGTGATTGGAATAGTTGCGTTTTCATGAGGGCAAAAACGTGTCTTCTGATAGGCACAGAGCATTAGTAAATGAAGTGATTTGAAATTCTCTACCTGCCAACAGCTTCAGCTTTGCTGCGGCCTTCTCCGTGGGGTGTTTCTCGTTACTACTTTACAGGCACAGCTTTACAGGTGTTGTGCTGATTAGAGGTTTCCTGTCGAGATTTGCCTGCCCTGGCGTGGGAACGTACATTGTGCAATACAACTGATTACATGTGGTTGGGACATCCCTAGTTCTCAAGGAAAAGCCTTGAATCACCAAGTTGGTTTCACCTGCACTGCTTAATTCAAGAGAAGTAATATTCTGGTAGAAACATAAAGTCAAATATGCAGAAATATTCAATATTTTTCACAACTCTTTTTAAGAACAGGGGTTTCACACGAGAAAGACAGCACACTTTAGATTTCTATTTTTATTCAGTAGGAGTAAACTGCTTTATCGGTAGGTCGGCACATCGGTAGGTCGATATATCGGTAGGCCGATATATCGGTAGGTCGATATATTGGTTGGTCGATATATCGGTAGGTTGATATATCGGTAGGTCGATATATCAGTAGGTCGATATATTGGTAGGTCGATATATCGGTAGGTCGGTATATTGGTTGGTCGATATATCGGTAGGTCGATATATCGGTATGTCGATATATCGGTAGGTCGGCACATCGGTAGGTCGATCAATCGGTAGGTCGGTATATTGGTTGGTCGATATATTGGTAGGTTGATATGTCGGGACGATATCTGACAGTTTTCATATATCGCCATTGTTGTATGAAAGAGGCTCAGCAAAATGTTCCTGTTTTTTTAACTATAAAGCTGATGTAAAACGTTAAGGTTGGTGTTTGAGTGCCTCCCTTAACCAGAGAATAAATGTGCCAATCTGTGTAGTCTCCCTTTCTGTGATATACAGAATCGTGTGTGTGTGTGTGTGTGTGTGTGTGTGTGTGTGTGTGTGTGTGTGTGTGTGTGTGTCTTTACATGTTAGCAGTCCTCTCAGGGTGAGGTGTTTATAATTTCTTCATTCCAAGGGCTAAACATATTTAACTGGCTTTCAGCAGATGTTTGATTAAAACACACACACACACACACACACACGCACGCACGCACGCACGCACACACACACACACACACACTGCATGGCTGCTTTAGCTGTCAAACGCACTCTGGAGGATTTTTGTCTCTGGTCCAAACTCGGGATGTGTGGGTGAGGATGACGACACACCAGCTTTGGGTGAATGCTGCCTCAGCACCGTGCTCACACAGTCGAGAAGATAAAATATTTAATTTGCTTCACAATTTTTTTTCTTATACAAAAAAGTGGCCTAGGCACATCAAGGTGAAACTAGAGCATCAGCGTCTCTGCTGTTCTGATGAAGATGAACGTTTTTAGAGAGCAGGAATGCAGTAGGAGAAACTCTAAATGCATTAAAACTAGTGACTGAGACCCGAGTCTCAGTTGGCAGAGGAGTGGTGACCTACTGATTATGGGAAGCTGCTCTCTTCAGGGGTTTTCCGGAGAATCCGGTTTTCTCCTTGGGAAGACAACTGAGACTCTAAAACCAGTTTTAAAAATAACAACAATGTGAATCACTTGTTATGACTCATGCTAAAAAAGGACATTTAATACGTTTGTATTTAAAACAGAAAAGCAGCAGACGATCCTGGGACTAGGAGAAAGCCTGATTCCATCATGTCTCACCTACACTTTTACTGCTACCCATAAATCCCTGAACCTTCCAGTGCTGCTCGTTCACATCCATAATAAAGCAGCGTGTTTCCGGTGGGAGCTTCATCCCACCATGCGTCACCACCGCTGACATTTTACTGCTGCAGCCCAGCTGAGGGGTTTCTACATAAACAAACCATCCCTCCTCACAGCTATTTTCTTATGTCAGCCACTCTGGGGAGGATTATTTTAAACTCCCATCTTTCTCCTGGGAGGTATGCTTTCCAGTGAGTTATTCCCGGTAGATCCCAGTCCTGCTGGGGGTCTTTGAGGCCGCTGCTTGTTCACGCTGCACCGTTACTAATAAGAAGCTGAAACTTTTCCTCCCGACAGCTGAAACAGGCTCGTTTCTTCCTAACCCGAAGCTCCTGATCCCTTTGGAGGATATTTCTGTGTCTGGAGCTTGTAGGTGTGAGAGAAAGTGGGTCAGTCAGCTCGCCCTCATTGCAGCTTGGTTATCAGAGTTCACTGATGTTTTTATTACCTCAGACACGTAAACACACACACACACACACACACACACACACACACACACACACACACACACACACACACACACACACACGCACACACACACACACACACACACACACACCAAGGGCGCCCCAAGGGGTGGCCAGGGGTGGCCATGGCCCACCCCAAGAAAATAACTGCCCCCCCCCCCCCCCCCAACACCAGGAAAAGCCAGTGTTGACAAATCACATTAATGTTCAGTCAAACCATATTTTGGTCTTGTTTATTAAGACATAATTGTAAAACAAAATAAAATATTACGATTAATGAGTAAAGAAATAATCAGAATAACAATTATACATGTTTCTGCTGCTCACCATTTTAAAAAGTTTTTATCTCCATAGTTTTTTTTTGTGTGTGAACACAGCAACAGGTGAATAAACCTAAAAAATAAAATTTTAAATTAAATTTGGGGTAAAATTTTAAATAAATGAAACGCATTTTTCCAAAATGTTAGTGTTAGTAAAATTTAAGTTAAATGATTTGGATACATACTGTTATTTTAATAAAAAAGAATAAAGGCGCAATGCAGCTCATCGCCACAGAATAAATTCAACCAGAGTTGCCACAAGGACCAATTTGGTGCGCCACCCCAGCAGTTTCTTAGGCCCCACTTAGCCACCCCATCAAAATTTTCTGGAGGTGCCCCTGACACACACACACACACACACACACACACACACACACACACACACACACACACACACACACACACACACACACACACCCTCTGGATTTCTGCTTTAAGTAGAGTGTTATAAGGAGTCTACGTTCTAAGTCGTATATAGGAGGTGTCGTCGTTTTACCTCCACCTGTGGCTGGGAAAGATCATATTTCTCTGCAGCGAATCACAGAGATGCTCGACATAGCAGGACAGATAGTGGTCGCCTTTTTCTATTTCTGTCATCATTTCCACCGCATCCCTCCATCCCTCTCCCACCTCACTTCCCCTTTTACTGCCCGAAGGGACAGTGGCTCTGTTGAGATGGCAGCGCAGAATAAAGACAGAAAAATCCGGTTGTTTTGTCTTCCTCAGCAGTTCTCCCAATTGACAATTTAAGCAAAAAGTTAAATATAAAGTCAGCAGAGTCCTGTTTGGTATTCATTGTTTCCACGGCGCGGTTTTTACACGGCTTCATAATCTGTGAAAGTAAACTATCACAGCTTTGGCATGGATTAAGACGCTAGACGTGATTATGCAGCGAGAAGAGGAAGAAACCGTTTATAGTGTCTGAACTGGAGCAGACGCAAGAATCACCAGAACACAAATGAACGAGTAAACTCCCCCGGCTGCAGTCAGCTGATCGGTGTTGTGCTTAACAATGACTGCTCATCATTCATGCTGTTGATGCTGTCAGCAGTCTGGAAAGGCACATCTGGTCCTCTAACGGGACGTTTAACATGGCTGGATTGGTGAACTCCTAATAATCTCAAAATCATCTCCGTTATGGGTCTTCATGAGTTTAAAAGGGTTCCGTTTGACTTTTATCCTTTAAAGTTTGCAGGCATGCTCGGGGTTAAGGGTATGGAACCCGTTTCTAATGCCAAAGTAAATGTTTAAAGGTTTTACATCATGAGTTTTTATCGCGACGGTGGCACAGGAGTTAAGTGCTCGCCTCGTAATCAGATGGTTGCAGGTTCGAGCCCCGCTCAGTCTGTCGCTGTCGTCGTGTCCTTGGGCAAGGCACATAACCCACGTTGCCTGCTGGTGGAGGTCAGAGGGACCGGTGGCGCCAGTGCTCGGCATCCTCGCCTCTGTCAGTGCGCCCCAGGGCAGCTGTGGCTACATCGTAGCTCATCACCATCAGCGTGTGAATGTGTGTGTGAATGGGTGAATGACTGATTGTGCTGTAAAGCGCCTTGGGGGGTTCCAGGACTCTAGAAGGCGCTATATCAAATACAGGCCATTTACCATTTTACCATCGTCAGCCTGAATTTATACCAGGAACTGAAACGATTAATTTTAACAAAGCTCCGCCCACATCCAAAAACACGTGCCTGGAAAACCGTCTTAGGCCAGCCTGCTGTTGTGATTTAGCCATGTGCTGATGCTGGTTCATCTCCCGCTGAAGCAGATTTCATGTTTTCATATTTTAGTTTTAATACATTTCTGCAAAATCTTTTGTGTCTCTAACCATCTTTGAATTCAACCGGGTGAGCGCCGAGTCTCTGCTCAGTCACCACCTGATTGGTCAGAAAGTCACAAACCTCCACGAGCTTCCCTGTGATTGGAGAGATAAGTGACATTCCGGGTACAACGTCCAGTTGGCGCTGTTTGATTGGTCCACAGATCCCAAAACGCCTCATGACGCAAACAGCAAAACGTTCAGCGTCGCGAGCTCATCTAGCATTTTAGTTTGTTTACTCTGCTCACCTCACGTGGACTCGCGTGTTTGGGAAGTAGCATGTTTACCTGGAGGAGGCGGGGCTTGCCAGAAGTAGCCACTAGGGGGCAGGGCTGTTTTTGCTGATTTTATGTTGTTTGCCTACACAGTGAGGTTACTGCCCCCTACTGGCCCTGTCGTAGGACATGTTTTGATGTCTGCTGAAATGATTTAAAAGTGAAAAGAGTTGTGTAATAGCTTTTCCATAAACCCTCGTTCTTCTGTTGCAGATGGGCCATGCGGACGCTGATGGGATGTGACATCACAGTGAAGTCGTGGACAGCGTTGGACCGTGAAACCTCAGAGCCACTTGGGTTTTCTTTTTCACCCGACCTGGAGCAGAACCACTTTTATACATTTGCTGTTGCCTGCCAGTGAATGCACCATTCCAATATGGATAATCTTTCCCAGGATTCAATTCTGGAATGCCAGATCTGCTTTAACTACTACAGCCCTCGACGGCGGCCCAAACTCTTGGATTGCCGACACACTTGTTGCTCGGTGTGTTTGACCCAAATGCGCAGCACCCAGAAGGAAATCCGTTGTCCCTGGTGCCGTGGTGTCACCAAACTTCCTCCTGGCCTGTCTGTCTCTCAGCTACCGGATGACCCGGACATCGTCACTGTCATCGCCATCCCTCACGCCTCCGAGCACACGCCAGTTTTCATCCGCCTCCCGAGCAACGGCTGCTACATGGTGCCACTTCCTGTCACTAAGGAGCGGACGCTCGGCCTGCCGGGGGATCTGGGGTGTCGCTTCCTGCCTGGCGGCCAGCAGAAGGGGGTGACGGTGGTGACGATGCCCGAGCAGCAGCCTCTGGGCCTGGCGATGGGCCTGGAAGGGGTGGGGCTAGAAGGAGGCGAAGGGGAGAGGAGAGTCACTGGCCCAGTTGGGGGAGGAAAGGGTTCTACGTGGTCCGGGGTGTGCACGGTTATTTTGGTGGCATGTGTGCTGCTCTTCCTTCTGGGAATCGTGCTGCACAACATGTCCTGCATCTCCAAACGCTTCACTGTTATCTCCTGTGGCTGAGGGCGGAGCTCAGGCTCCTGCAGACATCTCATGTTGGCCTGGCTTCTCCTCAGGGATGAACTCTGCTGAGGGGAGTGGACTAAACCCACGGAGAGGACAGGAAGGAGATCCTCAAAGGGACCACCGTTGTTTTTGTTAGAATTTTTTTACCTTGGGGACTGATGTTAAAACAGAGAAAAAGCTTTCTGAGTTTCACTTTCTTCCTCTCCAGCAGAACTCCGCTGGCCTAAAAACTCCCACCCCAGGTGTTCTCCCAATCTTCTCTGATGGACTGTTCTGAATGGATTGTTCCCTCACAGCTGATTGTGTTTGTAGCGTTTGGCTCAGACGTTCTCCAGCTGGTTGGTTCCTGGTTCTGTAGGACCTTACTGTGCAGAAGCCACATCTTCACCCAGGACAAACCAATCTGTGGAACCTACTTGGCTTTCATTTTCTATCTGCTGTGGAAGAACCTGTTGAGAACAAACCTTTGAGATGACTGTAAGTGAAATGTAGAGTTCAAACCAACCAGGATGTGCAGAAGAGCAGCAGGTAGTTGGTTTAGGGTATCCTGCAACGATCTTCTGGTGACTCGTTGGAGGTTTTTAATTGTTTTTCGGGTTTAAATCACATGTCTGTGTCGACTTCACTCTTCTGTTGGTGCACAAAACGAACAAACTGTTAAAAGTAGTTTAAATGTGAGATCATTATGAGCTGAAAAATAAAACTGGCTATAATATCTGGAAAAATACAGAATATCTGACACTGAATTATTAATTAAATCAAATTTTTAAATTAAATTCGACAGTTTTCTTTCCAAATGTGACAAAAGCTTTGAATTTACCACCTAAATTATATAATCTTATATTTTATGTTAAATCACTTTTGTTCTTAATATTTAAATGTCAACAGGTCTGAAGATTAGCTTTAATGTAATTCAGAAATGCTTTATTCATCCAAAAGGGAACTCAAATGTTGTAATTCATAATATTCAGAAACAATAATGATAATATTTAAATCATTTCTATATATTGATATTGGATGATTATAGGCCTATCTCTTTAATATCAATGATGGTAATGTCATTATCAGATGAATGGAAATTGATTTAATAATATTTGCTAGTTGTTTAATTTATAAATGGTAAGAAATAAATTTTGAATAAAAGCAAACATTTAGCATTAAGCCCAGGTTTCAGCTAGCTCTGTCTGGATTTATTTGTACATAAACCGAGGTGTAACTCAGTTTTGTGCTACTTGTGAAGGTTTTAAACTTATTTTATTTTGCTGTTATTACAGAATAATGAAAAAAATGGAATCTGTCCCTGTTGAAGGTGGTTAGACGAGTCGCTTTTGGTGTTTATGAACGTTTAAGAGGCCTTCGTTTGGCTAGCTCTGGTGTAGGCTACTCCAGTCCTTGAGAGCCGCTAACCAACTCGCTTCAGAAGTTTCTCTGATTCAACACACCTGGTTTATATGAGCAGGTGACCAGCTGAACAGGTGAATCAGCTATGTTGATGCAGGGAAACAACTAAAACAAGCTGGTAGGGGCTAGGACCGGGGTTTCCTACCCCTGGCATAGCTGCTCCCAGGTTAGCTAGAATATGTGTTAGCTTCTCGTGCTACAAACCTAGCGAACTTACTAGCTAGTAACAAGATAGATGGGAAGTGTGGTTGAGTTAAGCACTGTACGTGTTTACGTTTTACTTTCTGTTGTTCAACATCTTCCTGTTTTTGTGCCTCACACGTCAGAATTTGCTAATAAAATCATTAAATCGTTTTCAAATGCCTTACTTTTATTTTCTTCCCGCAAAGAAACCTGCAGAAACTAAACATTTCGTCATGCTAAGCTAAGCTAAACACAAACGGAGGAGGAATATTGATTTCTTCTTTTATTTATGCACATGAAAGTTAACGATGACTCTTTTAAGATGATGAATTCGACCTTTAACTGAAGTTTTAGTGCGTTGGCTGCCCCCCGGTCAGGACCTGCTCCCACCCCGCTCTGACCCGCCACAGCCCACATCATCGTATCGCCTCCTCTTCTCAGCACAGAACCTCTGGGATACAGGGCTGAACTGTAATTATTTGTGTAACGGGTCGGCACCGGGTCGTCTGTGGGCGGTTGTTAATGAAGGCTGTATTGATTTGGCTGCTTTTCGATATTTAGTTTTCAGCAGAAATGGATGTTTGTTCATTTTTCTACTTTTGGATTTTGAGACAAACAGATTTATCTCTTTGCACCAAGTTTTTGTTTTTTTCCTAAATTCTAATTTATGCAATAAAAATTAAATGTAAAATGTATTGAAGGTTAAAAACATCCCGGCGCAAACATTTTGCTGGTTTTCTAATTCCAGCTGCACATTTAAAGAACTTGCCACCAATTCTGACCTCTTGAATTTAAATATTTTAAATATTGTAAAATGAACAAGCAGGTTTTTATTTCTATTTTAAACAAACGTTTCATCTAAGAAACAACTCCTTTGCTCAGTTTAATGTTTATTTAAACTGACCCTGGTTTTCACAGCTGAATAAACCCAGTGGTGCTCAGAGTCTTTGTTTCCCCTCAGGAATCTCACCTCCCTTCAGGCATTTATTGATTTAATGCCGTGGAGGTAATTAAGACTCCCCAGGGTGACACCTGAACTCCCCACTCTCATCCATGATAGCTGCTCTGCTCACAACCAGCCGCTCTTCATGTCTCTACTTTAACTTCCTTGTGTTTGTGCACATTTAGCAGGTTTGTGGAGATGGACTAAACCTGCCTCTGCACCAGGGTGACCTGGTGTCCCACTTCATGCAGCTTTTTTACTACTTTCCCTTTAAAAAGGTGAAATGTCCTACATTTTGATGTGTGTTTAAACACAGCATGGAGGAGAGGAGCAGGTGGTCTCTGGAGCTAATCAGGAGTCAAGAGTCTGATGCAGCTTGTGGCGATCAGAGAAGAACCTGAGTGGAACCGTGTAAAGGTAAGGGTCTGGGTTTGGTACCGGGTTGGTTCTGAAGTGGAAGCTTCTGGTCTGGCTGTGGAGTTACCATGGTGATGGACTAGAAGCAGTTTAATGCATTAAACATGAACCTTTACTTGAGTTTTGTTGCTTGAGTGTTTTCCCTCAGCACCCTAGTTAGTGAATAGACACACCTGTTTTCCATCAGCACTCAGCTCACCTATTCATGGTTAGTGGGATAAGGGTTCCTCCAGTTCATCCACCAGTTAGATCCTCCTGTTCTCCTCTCGGTTCCTGTTAAACTCTGTTCTCCCTGAGTTCTCTTGTGCATTGATGGTTTCATTTAAGTATTTTATAAGATCACCTGGAGTCGTCACCTACCCAACAACAACCTAAACTCAATCAAACCTGCTGATTTTCTTCTAGCCCTCTCCCTCTAACAGGTTTAGTACATTCCTCAAACTTCTAAGTCCTCTGCCTCCTCGTGGAGGACATGCACGTCCTTTCTAATTCATTTGACGGTTTTTAATAATTAAATAACTGCTTAATTGAGAAACTGCATGATGACATGGATGATAGTGTTGCCTTGCAGTGAGAAGGTTGCAGGTTTGATTTCTGCACATCGTCTCCACGCATGTGTGGCTTTTCCTTGAATTTCTTCCCCAGACAAAACAAACAAAAAAAAAAACCAACATGCATGTCAGATTGTTGGAGATGAAGTTTTCCACAGATGTGAGCTTGTGACTGGTTGGTTGAGTCCATGTCCTCATATGAGACCTGTCCAGTTTGTCCCCCACCTCTCACCTGGTGACACCTGGAGAGAGGCTCCTGCTCCCAGTGATCCTAGTGAGGAAGCAGGTTAGATAATGGATGGAAAAGCTGCTCTCCCGGTGGAGGGTAACTCTGAAGTGCCTTCTTTTCCCCTCCACCTGAACCAATCCTCATGTAAACCCTCTGATCTCTATTAAGGTAGCGCGACTCAGGGTTGCGAATGACCACAGTCACCAATTCTTGTCATGTGTCTTTGCCTATGTATGTCTGATCTCTGAATTGTGTGTACTGAAACCCTTAATTTCCCTCTGGGATTAATAAAGTATATTTGAGTTGAATTGAATAAACAGATTCTTCTTTAGAAGATTTCATGCAACTCTAAAGTAAATGGGGGCTCATCCGGGATATTTTTAAAACATCAGACCGTGAAGGAATGTACAATCCCTTGGTGGTGGTATTTTAATGGTGTTTTATTTGTTTAGAAGATTTTAAGCAACAGATGGCTGCATGGATGACTGGCGGGTGCTTCTGGAGGCCCCGCCCCTACTGGATGGGCTCTCAGAAACCTACTAGCCTGATCCAGCCCAGGATGAGGAGAGGCAGCAGTGCAGGGGTTCTGCTGTCCTCCAGGCCTCATTTTGTTTTCAACACCTTCGTTTTGATGAGTTTTAACTTTAATAGTTTCAATTCTGATCCAAATGGATCTTTTATTCTTGTCAACTTGGTTGGTTCACAGCTCTCCTAGCGAGCTGAGGGACGTAACAGAGTGGGGGCTTATCCGGGAATGTTTGTTCATGGATTTACATTCCTGTAGATGGATGAATATGAGTGGATTAATGCAAGAACAGTGGGTACCGTTTTAACTAGATGCCCAGATTCCTTTACAGCTAAACTTTAGTAGCTTTATTCTAAAATGTTTTTTTAATCATAGGAAATTAAAGTTTAAATCTCATTTGATGACACAAGGCCCAATAAAAGAGAATAAATGTTTGTGGGTCTTACCAACCTGCAGATGCACTGATTTAGATGTTTTTCTGCAGCTCTAATCCTCACTTTGACTGAGGCTCATTTGCATTTCATTCTTCTGTGAAGCTCCGTCTCCGTGGTATCTCCGGCTCCCAGCATCACTGTTACCGACCGGCACAGGAGCCATTTCCTGCCTCGTGAGCGCTCTTGAGGGTGCATTGTGGATTTGCAGCATAAGCTCTGCTGAGGCTGTCATCCTTTCAAGCCTGGCAGCAGATCAGACTGTTTCCTCACGCTGGCAGAAGAAAAACACAGAAGTAACGTTCTGGTTCCCATTTGCAAAAGGCAGCGTTGGGTGACGGTGTGCAGCAGAGTGAATCAAAGCAATATCAAATTTTCAGCGAACACTCCTGCAGCGTTTCAGACAACAGAAAACTTAAATATTTGAGAGGATTGAAGGAGAAAAGTTAAACATAGGTGTGGAGCTCCGGTTTCAGACGTCTCATAGGCTCCAGGTGGAGTTCTTCTGTCTGAGCTGCAGATCAAACAAAGTGGAAAATGACAACTTTAGGGAGATTATGTTTATGTTTATTTATTTATCAGACGCTTTTATCCAAAGCGACTTACAATTCATAATCTATAGGGCATGTTGTGATCTGTGGGGGAAACCGGAGCACCTGGAGGAAACCCACGCATGCATGGGGAGAACATGCAACTTCACGCAGAAAGGCCGCAGCCGAGTTTCGAACCTGCAACCTTCGTGCTGCGAGGCAACAGTGCTAACCACTGCACCACCATGCATTACTGCAGGCGACATGAAACCGTGTTGGAGCGCAGGTGTGTGACACACACACACACACACACACACACACACACACACACACACACACACACACACACACACACACACACACACACACACACACACACACACCTGACAGCTGTTAGGGCTTTGACAGCAGCTTCAGAGTCGATCTGACTGGAACCGAGAAGGATCCTGAGTTACAACAGATATTTCCATCCCGGCTTTTAGAAAAACAAAGTTTTGTCTCTGAATTTTACATATAAGCTGCTTGTTTATTAAAGCTCCTGCTGTTAAAAGCTCAATATTTAATCAGTGCTGGAATACAGCGATGTCCTTTTCTTATACGACGTGACACGATATCCTTTCATAGCTCATAGCTTACTGCCCTTGTGTCATCTACTTTTCTGTAGAAAGTGAATTCCCTCTGTGGGATCAGTAACTTCTATTCTATTCTAATTAAACGACATAAAATATAATTTAAAAGGATATAATTAATCATAACTTGACAAATATATGATGTAATCAATACAATATGATAAATACTTTGTAAGATGAATCAATACAACACATGCAGCAACAATCAAAGCAAGTATGTTGTGGCGTACTACGGTACTAGAATATATGATTTTATACTTTTTATTACAACATGTGATGTGATGCAGTGTGTTTGATACTTTGTCAGCTGTTGTCCTCCATCAGAGTAATGTTCCTCCTGTGAAAGGTTGTCCAGGAACCACTGGATGGGTGAAACATTACTGGGTTTTGATGCTTTTAATCTGAAAATTGAACAGCTCCAGATTTGAACAGTTTGCTTGGGAAGCAAACACCACTGAGATTCTCTCCGTCTGTGACTGAAATGAGTCACAACAGTCGTCCTTTTAAACTGTCTTTCCCCTCAGATAGCCGAAATAGTCTGGAGCTCCGCTCAACGTGGTAAAACAAACTTAAAATACATCTCAGACGCTGGAAGGTTCAAATTCTCACCAAGGGGTGGTAAATGAAGAAAAATAGGGCTTTTAATTTGAAAATCTTTTATTGATTTCTGAGCGTTTGTCTCATTTTCTTAACAGAGGATGCCCGTGAGGAAACACCGTGGAAACAATGGATGGTTCAGCCCTTGCCTCCTTCAGCACCACTCCTGTTATCTTAGGTAAGTGGACTCAGGATTTTCCAGCAGAAGAAGGAAGGAAATAAGCTATCAGCTCCCAATCACAACTCTGGACTTTTGATTCCAAATTTCCCCAAAACGCTTCAGCCTTCGACTTAGTCATTGAGGAATGCGGTTTTTGT